AATGCATGTGACAGACCAAAGTGATGACATGAAATTATAGGAACTGAAAGGAACAGAGAAAATCCAATTTATCTCTGTGGGTTTGGGGGTCTTTAGTTGGGTGGGGGAAATCTTCCCCAAATCCCATAATCCCGGGCTAATCCTGACAGGAACATGTGACAAATCCCAGTAGAGCTGAATTTTACAAAATAACTGGTAAGTCTTCAAACTCTCAAGATCGCGAGCCCCGCGTTGGGCTCTGGGCTGACAGTTGGGAGCCCGTTTCGGATTCTGTGTCTCCCTCTCTCTCTGCCCCTCCCCCACCAACGCTCTGTTTCTCTCTCTCAAAAATAAATAAACATTTAAAAAAAAAAAGACAGAAAAAAACCAAAGGAGACACGATGACGAAATGCAGTATGGGACACCGATGTGATTCCTGAACACAAAGAAGACACTGGGGGAAACTGAACAACATCGAACAGAGTTGGACTTTAGCCAATCATGTCAGACATGGCACGTTGGAGTAGGATGTTCAGAATGAGGGAAACTGGGTGTGAGTATTTGGGAGCTCTCTGTACTATCTTTTTAGTTTTTCTCCACATCTAAAACTCTTCTGGGGGCGCCTGGGTGGCGCAGTCGGTTAAGCGTCCGACTTCAGCCAGGTCACGATCTCGCGTGATCTCGCGTGATCTCGCGTGATCTCGCGTGATCTCGCGTGATCTCGCGTGATCTCGCGTGATCTCGCGTGAGTTCGAGCCCCGCATCGGGCTCTGGGCTGATGGCTCAGAGCCTGGAGCCTGTTTCCGATTCTGTGTCTCCCTCTCTCTCTGCCCTTCCCCCGTTCATGCTCTGTCTCTCTCTGTCCCAAAAATAAATAAACGTTGAAAAAAAATAAAAATAAAAAAATAAAACTCTTGTGAAAAAGCAACATTTATTTTTAAAACATCAGGTTGAGGAAGAGTAGGGAGAGCTTCTGATCCTGGAGGGTTCCCCTCACTACTACTCCGTGGCTGTGGCATCTGACTACCACGTGCAGTGGCCGGGTTCTTGGTCGTTCAAGTTAGAGTCCTAGGCGCTAGCCTCTTATGGATAACACCCCTCACAAGCCCATCACACCACTTCTAATCGGGCAACGTAAAGAAATCACATGGCAAGCAATTCTAGCAAGGCTTAGCTGTGAATCCATCAGACAATTTTCATATGACTTGTCATAAAACGGCAGTAAGATCGAACGGAGGACTAATCTGTTTCGTGGACGTGTTCCCTGCACCAGTAACATCCCATAAATTAACATTTAAGACCCTCCTTGGAGACGTGGACATAGGAGCCAGTGTCCGGGAATGATGTGAAGGACAAATGAGACCACTGTTATGGGTTGAATTGTGCCCTACGCAAAAGGGATACATCGAAGTCCTAGCCCTGGTACCTGTCAGTGTAATTGTGTGGAAATAGGGTCTTTGCAGATGTAAACAAGTTAAGACGAGGTCATCAGGGTGGCCCTAAATCCAGTGACAGGTGTCCTTATAAGAGACAGAAGAGGAGAGACACAGACACACAGCAGAAGTCATGTGAAGGCAGAGGCAGAGATGGGAGGGGCGTGGCCAGAAGCCCAGGGACGCCTGGAGCCCCAGAAGCTGGAAGAGGCAGGAAGGACCCTTCCATGGAGCCTCAGGAGGGCACCCAGCCCTGCTCTGCCCGGATCTGAGTGGTCCTGCCCCGTCTGGATCTCAAACTTCTGGTCCTTTGTTGCAGCAGCCACAGTGACACAAATACACCCACATACACAGAGCGACCCGAGAGCTCGCTAGAGACCAAGCCTCACACACAGGTCTGTGTCCTCCAAGATTAGAGCAGACAAGGCCAATGCACTGGCCCAAGTTTAAGCTCCTCCATGGACGTCCAGAACTAGAAATAGCTAAGATGTTCACGCACTCTCTTAGGCTCGGAGATCCCATAACACAACCACAACATGCATAGAAGATACCATACCCTTTATGCAACAATCCCTTAAATATGTTTCCCTCCACATGAAAAGCGTGTGGAAATCATACACAATGTCCACCTCAAATGATTAATTCGCACGCAAATGTGCACACGCATGTTTATCTCGCCATTCACAACAGCCCAAAGGTGGAACAACACAAGCGTCCATCAACAGGCGAATAGGGAAACACAACGGGGTCCATCCATGATCAGGGTATGACTCAGTCATAAAACGGAATAAAGCACTAACACCTGCTAGCCCACAGATGGGCCCTGAGAACATGACGCTCAGGGAGAGAAGCCAGACACAAAAGGTCACTGATGGTGTGATTCATTTACAGGAAAGCCCAGAATGGGGAAATCCACAGAGACACAAAGTAGATTAGTGGTTACTCAGGGCAGGAGGGACAGAAGGATAGCGTAATGACAGCAGAAGGGTATGGGGTTTCTTTCTGAGATGAAGGAAATTTCTGTAACATTGAATGTGGTGATGGCTGCATACAGTATGTGACGTGTAGGTCAGTAACACTATTCGAAAAGCAGAAACAAACCAGCAAAATACCGAGAGCCGCGAGATCACGGTTGAGTCATTTCCTCGTTGGGAGAGAAATGGGATGGGGTGTAGACCCAGTCGGACAGGGCACACCCAGACACCCAGATTTGAAATCTGTCCAATCATCAAACACCAATACCGTGCCTTTGTTTCCATACATAGGGATGTGTGGTGAGAAGTGACGGGGCAAAGAGTGGTGATACGTACAGAAACAAACACTGACCTTCATGTTTCCGAGCCGTCTCGTTCTGTCAACGACCAGCAGTTTCTTAATGAGGTCCCTATTGGGGGGAAAGAGACAGAAAGTATACACATCTTGATATGGAACCGGGCAAGCACAGGATGGCCACAGCCACACGGTCGGCATTTGGAGAGAGGATCAGTTTCCCTTTGGCCTCAACCTTTTCTAGCCCTTGTTTCTTAACCGATTATCAGTTTCTAAGTAACGTATGCAAAGCTGGGTGGGCTACACAGAGATCACAGGGCTGAGGAAACGCGGATGAAATCATTGTGCAGGCTGCTGGTGAGAATGCAAACTGGTGCAGCCGCTCTGGAAAGCACAATGGAGGCTCCTCAAAAAATTAAAAATAGAACGACCCTACGACCCAGCAATTGCACTACTAGGCATTTATCCAAGGGATACAGGCGTGCTGTTTCGAAGGGACACATGCCCCCCAATGTTTATAGCAGCACTATCGACAATAGCCAGAGTATGGAAAGAGCCCAAACGTCCATCGATGGATGAATGGATAAAGAAGATGTGGGGGGCGCCTGGGTGGCTCAGTCGGTTGAGCATTCGACTTCAGCTCAGGTCGTGATCTCACCGCTCGTGAGTTCGAGCCCCACGTCGGGCTCTGTGCTGACAGCTAGGAGCCTGAAGCCTACTTCGGATTCGGTACCTCTCTTTCTCTCTGTCCCAACCCACTTGCATTCTGTCTGTCTCTCTCAAAACTAAATAAACATTAAAAAATTAAAAAAAAAAA